AACAGACGATACTAAACTCAATTTATCCGCCTAAACGTCCGTAGCGTGGCGCTACGGACGGCGGGAAAGTAGTTCGGCTGCCCGATGACGTTTTACGTATTATAGGAGTTATTTTTACCGTTGTTTACGGATACTACCACAATTTTTATAGGAATCATAACTATAGGAAACGGTTTTATAGGGGGATCTACTGTATTTCAGAATTTATTCGTAGGATTCATTATTGTATGTCCTTAGTCTGTACCTTTATTATTATTTGAGCATTATTAATATAAAACAATAAAATTATCTGATATACAAAGTTTGATTTAGTGCTGCCATTTATTTGCTTCTGAAATTGGTGCTAAATTGAATGACTTCAAATAATAACTGCATATAGTAATGAGGTTTATACACAGTGGTACATTATAGCTTCAAGGGGCCCAGGCAAATTTGAATTAGGGGTCTATGTACAGTGCTGACTTAAGATTTTAAGGAAAGTATATTCTTATGATTGGTTTAGGACTCCCTGGCAATTGCCCTTTTTGCCTATAGGATAAAGCAACCACCAAGTCATATGACTTGGTGTCATACATTTAGTAGTTCATAGTTATGGTAGGATTCCTAATTGAATATTTGAGAGAAAATCTGTTCACAGGTTGCTATTATTTAGGAGGGCAGTATACTGAGGGTTGGCTGTATGTAATGAAATAATCTTGAATTTTTTTGTATAAATGGCTCTCTTGCAACTATTTTAAAAGTCTTGCTGTTTAAATTCTAATATTTTTAATTAACAAATTCTAATGACTCAAATTAATTTCATAAATTGATAAACTATCATATTGATTATTAAAGATCAGTTATTTTCTGTTTATGGATATTTTAATGACTAATGCTGAAGTGTTTGAATATTTTGGTTAAAAAGTAGTGCTTATACTTACAAACTCTTGATTAATAAAATTTCTTATCATTTTTTAACACACAAACATGCAAATTTCTTTAGAATGAAATATAATTCATAGAAAATGTTAAGTTCAATTGTAATTTTTTTGTTTATAAATAAAATTAAGTCTAATGTAAGTAAAAACTGTTATACAACTCACTTTTAATTCTCTGATTAGAACTTAAACTATTTACTAACCATAATCTCAAAATATTAACTACTATTAAATAGTACTAATGTTTATTATTATACAATTTCTAAATAGATGAAATTTATTTTACATGTACAGTACAACAAACATATTTGTTAATTACTAATCATGTTAATCATATATTTTTAGAAAAAAAATATATTTCTTTTAATAAATATATGATTCTTTTAATTTATATAACAATAAAATTAAGTTTTACAGTGTAAAAAAAAATTTAATATGATTAACATTGGTTTGACCGTACATTTTTAAGAGAATTTCAAAAATTCTTATATTCAGAAAAAATATATATTACTAATTTTAATCATAGATCTGATTTCTGGAATTAAAACATTCACAGGTTTGTCAAAATATTAAGAAATAAAGTAGAAATAGATTTTGTTATTCAAATTCACATTGAAAATAAAATAAATAAAAGTTTTAATGAAAACGTTATTTAACATATTTTTGCATATTTTGCTAATGTGACTTGTGCTTAATTTCATAAAAATTTAGTTATATTAAAAGAAAAAACATACTAATTATAATAAAATTGATTTTAAAATTCAACATTTGGGCTATTTTTTTCTTTGGACATACAAAATACCACACTTATTCGGATACACATCACCAAGAATCAAAACTTTGAGTCAGAAGTTAATCAATAAGCATTCATGTAATAAAATAAATTAGCCAATTACCATTCACTTCATTAACTCTTGATCTCTAGTTGCAAATACTGCCAGAAGAGATTGCAAATACAATTCCCAGAGTGAATAATAATCATGGATACTATCTTAAAATGCATATTTTGTGAACATACTATTTAAGGCTGGTTATTCCTTTTGTACATAGCCATTTGATGTCTTGTTAATAAAATATATTTCATGCATTTGTTTTGAAAATCAAATTAACTCATTATAAAGAAATAGTTGCTATTTTTACATACCACTATCAGAAAATGAACAGGTGTATTTTTAATAGAAAATTAAAGTTTGTTTGCTAAATAAACACATTATTTGTTTCTAAATTATTAACTTACATAGGTAGATAAAATTAATAACTTTTCAGAAATCCAACAATAGTAGAGGATATTGTTATTCAAATAAAACTGGCAATAATTTTAAATTACTAAATTTCATAATGTTATGCAGAACACTATAACACTGATTTTGGAATCTTATAAATTTAAATACAATTTAGTATTGTACTGCAGTTAAATATTAAATCATTTAAAAAACTGAACAACGAACATCTGTTTTACATTAATGTCAATTTGACAGAATATCTTAAACAAGTACATTGATGATGATGATGATGATGAAAAAGTCCATAGTTACTAAATGAAATTTAATACTGATTTTTTCTCAAAAAAGTAATTTTGGTTTTTAAATAGTTTGAGTTAATTGTACAAAGAAATTGATGGTACAGCTAAGAATGATAAGGACGGCCCTGTACAAATAAAGCACTATCACAGATATATTTGTAATATAAGAAACATTCTTTATCATATTTATCACAATTGTTTGTTGAAAATTTAAAAACTAGTTTGCATCTTATTTTTATGTAAATGTGATATTTTCACAATTTGAAATATTCAATTTTAAATTCCAAGTGAAAAAAAATTTTAATGGCACTTTATATAAAAAATAATGAAATTCATTTGCATAATTTATAAATACAATAATCATGATTTAGAATGACGACATGCTTTTGTAATATGAATGTCAGTATTGCAGTCCAGAAATGGCAACGAAGCTACAAATGCCTCTTGGTTGATACTCAGCAAGGCCACTTGCTTATTTGAAGAAGAACTATGGGAAACTGAAGCATCGAGTGAATCACAGCTTGGACATTCAGAAATATTGGAAGAAATGTCCGAGGCACTACAAAAAAATGAAAAAAATTTATATTTACTGACTAAAGAAGCTATATGAGTAAAATAGAAACTAGAAAATAAAATATAATCTGAAATTGTTTTAAAAATATATATAAGTTACTGAAAAACAAGAATTGAAATTACCAAGAGTCAACAAAAAATGCACTTTCTTCTAATTTACCCGGTGGACAACATGAATTACCAGATACTATACTTTCAATTTCTTTCATCGATAAATGACTTTGAAGAAAAAGATGCAGTGCTTTGTTTGACAAATACAGTGGTTCATTCAAAATTCTAAAAACAAAAAAAAAAATATAATAAAATTATCACTTTTATAGGAATTTTGTGACATTAACTTCCTTATCAGTTTAAACAAATCTTTTTAAAAGCAATCATTAAAAAATTTTAATTATTTTTATTTGAAAAACAACTAAGTCAATAAATAATATTTTAAAAAATAGCAGTATATAATCATTTTAAAGAAACCATTATTTTAAATCAATTTTGTTCTTAGTTACTAGCTTTCATAAATTATTAAGTCAGCCAATAACAAACTACTTGTGTAATATATTCATATTCTTTAAATTTACTGTTATAATTATATATATAAAAAGAATAATGAATGTATAGAGCACGGGTGGCAAACCTATGGCATGTAAGGAGAAACCATCTGGTACCTGTACATAAATAAAAATCATATTTATTACATCATCTCTTTCAATCTTTTTGTTTATTGCCTGATCATCCTTTTTCAGCCAGATTTTTTATTTTCATTCTAATTAAAACTTTTTAAAAATTTCTTTAAATACAGTTATTTGAAGTCTAAAACTTTGGCATGCATAAGCATCTTTAGTGCTAGGCATGCTTACTATATGACATGGGCTCTAGACCAGGAATGGCAAATATCTGAGTCTAATTTGTTTATTTTACTTTCCATAAGAAGTAAATCTATGGAAATTAATAGTAAGTATATTTGAAAAGTATATGAAGGGTTTAGTGGAAAAGTGGCATAAGTGAAATATCACTAATATATTTGAATTTTATTATTTTAATAAAATATTAGTATATTTTATTTGGTTAAAAAAAATCATTGACTTGCCTTCTACTAACAGTATCATTTTATTTTTAAATTAATAACTTTCTTTAATAAAAAAAAAATATATATATATATATGCTTAGATAATTCTTATTAATACTAAACAATATTTTATAATAAGTGTGATATTTACTTTAACATAAATAATTCTAATAGTTGTCGTCTTTGTTCTATAAATTCTTCTGTGAACTGATCACGAAAGAAAGAATCTGAAGGCAAAGATGGTGGGTTCCTGTAATAATACAATGTTCATTAATGTCAATGTAAAAATATTATCTTTTCAGTTTTACATAAACAGTCAAATTTAAAAATTAACTTTACATAAAATGAATTTTACAAGTGTATTTCCATTAGAATCCTTTCTTACATTAATTTTTTTTTATTTAAAAAATAGAAATTAGAATATTAAAAACAAAATAATTATGATATTAAATAACAAACTTACAAAGTAGGGTGTAGTTGTTTCAATAATCGTCTTAAAAATAAAAATTCAGAAAAGCTTCTACGAACTACAGATTTTGAACACGAGAAACAGTAGTCATTACTCTGCAAAATATTAATAATATATATTTTAATGATGATCTTATAACTAAAAATTAAATACTTTTTATATTTCACAAATTCTAAATGATATAAAACACACATGAATTTAAAAACATTATTATATATATATATATATATATATTATATATATATACACTGTATATATATATATATATACAGTGAAAACTGCTTAGGCGACCACCTGCATTCAACGGGCACCTGTCAAAACGGGCAAAAATTTCTGGCAC